TGAGACTATGGTCCCTAGCTGCCCTTCAGGTCTGGAATTGAACCCACTCCTGTGGCTTCCAGCCAAACAAAAGACAGGCATATGAGTTGAACATTTACCTAAGGTAGATACACTCCTTGGAGAGATCAATCATGGGAGAAAGAAGAGTTGTTTATGCACAGGGAGACAGTGCAGGGTGCAGGAGTGCATGGAGGGATGGACACAGGGAAGAGGTAACTATCGGCAGGAAATGGGAGGGCAGCTGTTGCATTGGGGTAAATTGTAGTCAATGTCATGAGACAAAGTGTATATGAACTGTTGTATGGAAAGTGAATTTGCTCTGTAAAATGGGAGGGGAGCTGTTGCACTGGGGTAAATTGTAGTCAATGTCATAAGACAGTGTATGTGAACTGTTATATGGAAAGTGAATTTGTGTAATAAATTTTCACCCAAATCACAATTAAAAAAAAAGTATTTCCAGAATTATTTTCCTATCCTAAGGAAAAATGGATCAAAAGTTATTATTTCTTTTAATTCTCATTAAATTCCTCTAACGAATATATACTGAGCACCTACCATGTTCCAGAGACCTAAAGGGTAGTATCCTTAAAAAATTTAGTAGTAAGACACCTGCAATCAGATCTTAAGTTCTTTGAAAATAAGGACTGTGTCAAAATTTTCATATCAAAGGCATAGTGTTACTTATAAAAAGTAGCTCTCCAAGGTATTCACTGATAATTGTAATAAAAAATACTTTAAGTATTAAGAGCCCTACTGAGATAACACTCAAGCTAGCCTAATAAAACATAATGAGTGATCTATACAATTAAAAAATGTTGCTGAACCAACAAGTTACATATTCATCTTACCGAGAAAGAACCAGGCTGACCGCAGGTAGAAGAGAACTTTGCCTTGTAGTTTGAAAAGTATAAAATACAATGAAGATATATATATATATATATATATATATATATATCTCCACTGATACAACTGAGATGAATACACTTACCGAAGGTTTGTTTAGCTTTGATCTGTCATCCTGCAACAAAAACATAAGGCACATTAAAGCATGGAAGACCATCTACAAAGCACACCACTGCTGAGCTCTCACTTTTAATGAGACGTTTTAAAAAGTGGTACTCAGTGACTGGCAGTTTGAGTTCATCTATTGAGGCTGTTCAACACAAAATGTGATCCATCTGACTTGACTGCAAAAATTAACAGCAAATTAAGTGCTGTTATCTTCCATCCAGTGTCCCCGGGTTGAACCTGGCATCCATGAATGTCACCTTTGCATGTTGACATGTACAGGCATTTATTAGCTGAGGACCTAAGCACAGTCTCCCCCTTCTCTTTCCTAGTCCCTTTGAGAGCCATATACACACCTTTTTTTTATGATATCCTCATGGAATTCCTGCAAGGCCACGAGCTGCTACTTACACCACGATCAAGTGGGTCAGGCAAGCAGAGGAGACAGCAGAGCTACTGAAAACCCAGAGCTGTGGGCTGCACCAGCGCGACAACGGGACTGAGCATTTTCAGGACAGGTCTGATCACCAAGACACAATCTGAGGCACTGCTGAAAATGCCAACGTCTGCGCAAATAACCTGACAGATAATGCAGCCTCCTGCCTGGGCACAGCGTCCCCGCCACCCACAACTTCCCTCCCAACGGGAGTCGTTCTAGGACAGAGTCCCTCCGGCCGGCCGTCTTATAAGAGGCCCCGGGACCATCCCTGCAGCAGTGGTCGAGAGGCAGTAGCAACCACACGCAGCTAGGCTTTCAGCACGGGTTGGCTTGTTAATAGCCTCTCAGTCAGCCAGGAGCAGCTTTTCTGCCTAACCTTTCTCTTGTGAGCATGCGTGCTTCTCTCCTGCAGGCCCTCAAGCCCCCTCCAGGCTGGCTCCTCGTAAAGAGCATGTCATGAGCGAGGAAAGCAGAAAGGAGGAAGCCGGCGCTGAGGAGAGCTGACGTGCTCTCTGGAGGCAACAGACGCAGGTGAACGCAGGGCCGTGAGGTCCGCCCACCTGCTCTGGGTGCTTGGAGGACTTCGGCTACTTCCTTCCAAGCTTTCAGCTATACACCTGCTCCTCACTTGTCAACCGCCTTATTGTCCAACATTTCACATTTATGACCAATGAAAACATGTCTATTTGGCACATCAACAATGTACATCTGGCAGTAATGAAGCCAAGGTGTGAGGTAAGAGTAACCTTGGCTGTGGAGGTTAAGGTACTTATCAACTTGGCTGGGCCATGATTCTCAGTGGCTTGGCGGTTACATAATGACACAGTCACCCTCCATTTTGTAATCTGATGGTTGTCACTCTCCATGTTCACACAACGCTGATTTTCACATAATGACCTGTCTCTGGAACCTACCCACGTCGGTTGATGAGGAGTGGATGTATTCTTGACAAGCTAGGGAGACAGACCAGTGAAGTTCTACACAGTCATTATGGTCAGAGTACAGTTCCGTGTCTACAGAATGGCTGAATGAAGCCAGTATTTCCCCAAAGCCAGCCCAGGGTCTGAGGCCAGCACTCATGTCCTCCAAGGTGTGAGGCCAAGCAGGGGACAGGAGGGCAATGTGCTTTCTCTCACCTCCGACAGAGCTTAGTCAGCTAACCAAGCTTATGTTATGATCGTGAGGCCTTTGTCAGTACTAAAACATCCCCAAACTTATGAAAGGAGGGGGGGCTTCCTAAGATAAATACTTTGATCAAAAGTTTAAAAAAATCAAACTAAACTATGCAGGACTAATATCCCAAACTTTTTGGAATTTGCTGCTGGGGTGCAGTGAATTACTTGATATGACTCTCCATGGTCTTTGTGACTCCCACCAGATTAATGGGTTGAACTATGCAAATGTGAGGTGCTTGGGGCTCACCAAAGGGACTGGATAGCTTGCTAATAATGTATATAAGGTACATGGCACTTTGTGAGGGTAGAGCCATGCAAATAAGGTATATGGAACCCTAACGTGGAGACTGGTCAGTTTTGCCGTCTGAATAGGCTTAAAATGAGCCCCACTAGAGACAGAAGGGGAGATCTCATTGCCATCAGGAGAGAAGAGCTTGAGGTAGAATGGAGTGAGTCCTTGGGCCTGAGATCCCCGTGCTGGACCTTCTTGGCAGAAAGATGGAAGAGGCGACCAGGAGAGACTACCAGCTGCAGAACCAAAGGACACGAGACAGAGTGGTGGGCTTGCCAGCTCACGGAGTGAGAAATCAGAGTGCCTCTGGGAAGGAGGCCTGCCGGCAGAGTGGGGTACACCTACGTGCATCTATCAGCAGAGCTAAAGGAGCTTTATAACACTTGCCCAATCAGGGCAGAGGCCATGCCAACAGGCCAAGGGCCAGAGAAGCAAGCTTGAGGGCATAGCAGAGGAGAGACTGTCCTGATTGAAGAATTGTATCCTGAGAGCATTCCTGAACTTGAATCATAGCCTGTTACTTCCCTAATAAGCCCCATAACCATAAATATTGTCTGTGAGTTCTGTGTGGCCATTGCAACCAAGTACCGCACCTAGCAGAGAAGCAGAGAGTGCCATGGGAAGGACACTTGGTGTCAGAAATGGTAAAAAGGCTACAGGATGGTGGCATGTCTGGCCTCATAGAATAAGCCTTGGGCTGTTGATGGTGACTCTGTTTCCCCTGTAAGGTTAGAGGAGCTCAGAGGATACCGCCTGCATGTCCTTTTTGTAGCTACCATGAAGCCTCCCTTGGACTTGGAGCTGGGGGATTCCACCAAGAAAAACACAACCAGTGCAACATGCAAAGAAACTTTTGGTCAATTTATTTATGACAAAACTGTTCTTCCAAATTTAGATGTTCTTTTTGCTCTTCTCCTTTTTAAATTCTGTACCTATGCCAGTCCACTGCTGGGGCAAAGTCAACTACTACGCCTTAAAGTAAGAAAGAAAAGGTCCCCAAAAGGCACTTACTGGATGAACCTCCCCAATGATGTACGTCTTGGACATTTCTCTAGCGTCTGTAGAGTGCCCAACATCCTCAAAGTTTTCGGTGGCATCTCCGCCAGCTTGTTCCCTTAGGACTTCTTCTCCCCCCGGATGCTGTTCAAGGATGGAGAAATAGGTACATCCTCAGAGGCTAATGCAGTTAAAAGGAAACACTCGTTTATTTAACCAAAGAGGCTACACCAGACATCAAGATACACTGGATGAATATAATCTGTCCATACTGTGGATATATACTAGAATATTACTCGAGTATGCAGAGATGTGAGGTTCTGATACATGCTATGGCATGAAACCAAAACCAAACTCACTGCTGTTGCTGTCAAGTCAGATCCGACTCATAGCGACTCCGCCTTGGGTTTCTGAGATGGTATCATATGGAAGTAGATTGCCCAACTTTCCTTCCTAGGAGTGGTTGGTAGGTTTGAACCACCAGACTTCTGGTTAGCAGTCAAATGGTTAGCACTATGCCACCAGAGTGAACCTTAAAAACACTGTGCTGAGTCAAAACAGCCCGGTACGAAAGGACAAATATTGTATGATCTCACATCTATGAAATATCTCCAACAGGCAAATGCTTAGAAACTAAGTTCATTAGTGGTCACCGGGAACAGGTGGGAGGGGAAATGGGGAACTATTTCTTAAGGGTATTGACTTTCTCTGCCATACGCGAATGTGGGACAATGACAAAAGACAGAAGAAGAGGTGATACATTCAAACTGTGCTGCTGGTGAAGAATACTGAATGGACCTCGATTGTTAGAAGAATGAACAAATCAGTCTTAGATGAAATACAACCAGAATCTCCTTAGAAGAAAGGATGGAGGAACTTCAGCTCACTTATTTTGGACACGTCATCAGTAAAGACCAACCTTTAGAAAAGAACATCATGTTAGGTAAGTCGGAGGGTCGGTGGAAAATGACGGAAACCCCCAATGAGGTGGATAAAACAATGGACTCAAATACGCTGATGATCACACAGACGGTACTGCACCAGGTAACATTTGTTCTGTCACACGCAAGATCACCACCAAAAGCCAGAGCTGACCTGCTGGTAACCAACAGGAACAACCAAGTCTCTGGAAGATATCTGGGAACAGATAGTGGTGATGGTGGTGCATGCAACATGTTGTTATGTGCCATCAAGTCGGACCTGACTCATAGCGACACCTCCTTGGGTTTCTGAGGCAGCATCACTACAGAAGTAGGGTGCCCAACCTTCCTTCCGAGGAGTGGCTCGTGGGTTTGAACCACCAGCCTTCGGGTTAGCAGTCAAGTACCTTAGGCACTACGCTACCAGAGCTCCTGGCAACCCTATAGGGCACAGCAGAACTGCCCCGTAGGATTTCCAAGGCTGTACATCTTTTTTTTTTTT